ATTTTTAAATTAAAAAATGGATAAGTTCGATTGTAAATATTGCAAAAGTGATCAGTATGTGTAAAATTGTGAACATTTAAAGCGCTAACGTTATCCTTTGAAAATATAAAGACTATTGTGAGAAAACGACGATTGTTTATATTGTGAGCAAGTGACAGTGAAATTGACTAATTATGTGTAAATTAATATGAACTAGACTATGTGCATTTTTACAAACTTAAAATAAACCAATGTGATACGAAACAGTGTTAATTACAAATTTAGAACAAAAACAAGAACTATTAAAACCGTTAATTTTAATTTTATTTAAACCGAAAACATTGTGTTTTGTATACATTATGTCAGAAAGTTGCCTATCTCACGATTTAAGACGATATTACACAAATTTCTGATTAATAAATGTTATTATAATGTCAAAGAGTACCTATATAAGCAAAGCTTATATAAAGCAAAAATATTTGTAAGGCTACATGGAAAGTAATACAGGAAAAAATTGACACTAGACCGCAGTATAATAATTATATAGATTCCATTGAATATAAAAACAAAGTTATAAATGATCCTACATAGATAGCGTCTATTTTTAACAATAATTTGATTGAATTGACAAATAAAAAAAATGCAAACATATTACGTGAAACTCCTAATGACATTTTAAATAATTTTATTTATTTGATCCCCATCCCCATTGACGAATATTACGTTAGAAAAATAATTTTATCACTGAATAATACAAATTCAGAAGGCTACGACGAGGTATCTACAAAGATTATCAAGATATGTAATAAACAATTAGGTGCTGTTTTGGCGTTTCTGATAAATCAGTCAATGGTAACTGGGATATTTCCAGACAAATTAAAATTCTCCTTGGTGAAGCCATTATTTAAAATGGGTAAAAAAACACTCGTAAGTAACTACAGGCCCATTACGCTGGTTCCTATCCTATCCAAATTGTATGAGAAGGTTATACATGAAAAACTTACATCGTTTCTTGATAAATATTAGGTACTCAAAAACAATCAATATGGTTTTCGGAAAAGTAAATCCACTACACATGCGGTATATGACTTAGTGAATGAGACCCTTACACAACTAAACGCCAAACAATATACGACGGCGCTCTTATTTGATATGTCGAAAGCTTTCGATTTTGTTTCTCATGATCAACTTATAGCAAAGTTGGATCACTGTGGCGTTAGAGGCATTGCTTTGAACTTGATCAAAATATACATGCAGAATAGAATGCAATCAGTCGAAATAGCAAAACTTGACTCTAACCATGTAGCTGAAAATCACAGATCTGAGTTTAGGAAAAACGAGTTTGGCGTTCCAAAAGGAAGTATCCTGGGACCTCTTCTATTCCTGATCTATATTAATAATCTCCCAAATGTGACCATGTATCGATGTATCCTATTCGATGATGATATATCTGTAATAGTGACAACTGATAAAAAACTAATATTAAATGAACACAAAAAAGACATCAGTGAAACTATAATTCAAATAATTAATTGGCTTAGAAATAATAATTTAATTATTAATATTGACAAAACGAATTTAATTAACTTTAATAATATACAAAATTTGACTTTGAATATAAATTATTAAGCACAAATACTTAAAAATACAATAACAACGAAATTCTTGGGTATAGAAACCAAAAACTAGATTGGAAACAACAAGTGGAAAAAGTGTGCAATAAAATCAATCATTTCGCGTTTGCAATTTATAAATTAACAAAAATAACAGGAAAGAGAACAGCCTTTACTGCGTACTTTGCTTACGTTGAATCAGTACTGCGATACGGACTCATTATATGGGGTAATAGCACAGATATAAAAAAGGCGTTCATTGCACAAAAAAGTGTGTTAGAGCTATATGTGGTACTGTACCTAACGAGCCATGTCAGCCCTTGTTTAAATCCTTGAAAATTTTGACACTTCCTTGTCTATATATTTTCGAAACGGAGAAATTTGTAAAAAATAATATATATTATTTCACACAATTCAAAGACTTTTACAAACGAGGCACTAGAAATAGGAATAGGCTGGTTTCCACTATAATACCCAAGAGCGCGAGATTCCAAAATAATTGCTATTGAATGTGTATGACAGTATATAATAAGATACCACAAAAAATTCAAGACCTACCTGTCATTAAATTTAAAAGAAAGTTATACAGATGGCTCAGTGAAAAGGCTTTTTATACTGTAGAGGAATATTTGAACTGCGATATGTGGTAGCCGCTGCACTGATGTGGATTTGCTGGACCAATTGTAAAATATTTATTAAGTACCTATTACCTATTTATTGATTAATTGTTGACATTTTATTATTTTAGACATTTTACTCATAAATATTACTATCGCATTATTTTATATTTGTAAGATTTGCATGCCATTAATAATGGCTGATTAAGCGGATGTTTAATTATTACCACCATTTTAGTTACTTAACCAAAAGCAAATAAATAAATATTTCATATTTCAAATATTTCATTATATATATATATATATATATATATATATATATATATATATATATATATATATATATATATATATATATATATATATATATATAGATTTTTATTTTTTTTATGGGGGTGTGTGTGTGTGTGTGTGTGTGTGTGTGTGTGTGTGTATTTTCATTATATATACATAATATATATACATCAACGCCCCCGAGCAAAAAGTCGGTAATCGTAAAACTTAAATTTTACACAAAAAAAGATTTTTTTTTCAGTAAAAAGGTTCTCCGGTTTTCTTACACTATCCACAAACGAAACACAGCAACATTAAGCGTCTATTTTAGGTGATAATATGTGGTTTTAGCCCGGTCTAGCCTACTCGTTCGTGCCACAGCAATAAAATTGTGGCAGCGTGACTCTACCTACGCTAGTGACAATTCAACGTTCTCTAAATGTATGAGTTTTTCGTATTCGCCTTATATACATTGACAGTGGAACTTCTTATTTAATTCTGATCTTGAATCTTCAAAAGTATTCCTAAAAGTAGTGTATTTTTTCTGTAAACGTGAAACACTGACCTCCACAATATTAGCCAAACGAATTATCTTACTATTTTTATCATGTCGCCATTTATCAAGATTCAACAGTATTTTTGCATCATAATTAAGGAATTATTTTTCATTGTTCTGATTACATCATTTATCATTTATCACAGCCTACCAAAAGTCTGAGAATAGGGATACTTGTCATAGTTTTTAAACAAAACTGCGCATGCAGTTTTTTAAAAATTATTTTCAGTTGTTAGTAGAAAGATACTGCTGCCTCTCGAATTTCATTTTTTTCTATCGCTTTTTACGGCACCCATTAGATAATAACTTCAGATTGCATTAATTATCTTTCACCGGCATAGATTTCAAAATATTGTTGTAAATTTATTTAGGAGTATTGACAACTTCTTTTGTCATGTTGATTGTGCCAAAAACCTGTGCGTAATGGAAATCGCAAATAAATTTGGAGGCAAAGACATCATACAAGGATAATTTATTCATATTTTATTTGGCCGTAGCAACCATCAGTATAAAATGAAAATTTGTTAATACCTGTTTCATTTTCAGTTCTAAAGAATATAATCTAGCAACACACTATTATCATTGGTCATTGCAAGTACATAGTAGAGACTTGTAAGAAATTTATATAAATAATATGATAATATACGTAAATGATAATACATATTGAAGTAAACCTTCTTTACGCACGCTTACTCCCGTCGGGCAAGGCGAACGCGAGTTGAGTAGGGGATAAAAGCAAGAGAGAGCAGTGCGCGCGCACATTTTCTTTCTCGCTTTCTCTCATAGCCAGTTACGTTCCATATATCTCAGCACAATTTCGTTTTGAACAAATTTATTCTCTACGGTTATATATTTTCTACGTTTAAAGTGAATAAAATTGTAAATTTACTTTGAAATTCAGGTTTTGTGAATTTTCGGTTGAATAATAACAAATTATGGAAGGAAGCCGATAGTTAATTTAAATATTTGTAGAATGCATATATAAGCATATATATATATATATATATATATATATATATATATATATATATATATATATATATATACAGATGGAGCTAAAGAGTTTTTACTTCAGTCGTGTGGTCATAAGCATACTCGTTTTTTGTTTAAAATAAACTAATACCATTCTTATAAAATATAGTTAAATTCGATTATTTCTTGAGTTAACATAAAATAGTACTACAAAAATATAGTTATCGCGTTTACTAAGCACTTTATTATTATGCATTTAAGCCGGTAAAGTAATATACCAAATCAAGCACAAAAAAATATGTTTTTGTATTGATACGATACGTTAATTTTCTGGTCATTAACAAGATTGGAAATTTTCGTACAATAAAAGTGTTATTTAATATATCTTCTCAAATAAACGTATAAAAATCTGAACAAAATTACCGATTACGAATCTGACAAAACAGTATAAAGTATATAGCAGCACATTACCGGTTTTTTACATACATACATCAGGAGCTTCTCCGAAGAGGCCTAATAAAATGCAGAGATGCACAAAATGGCTTTTTAATGTATATAACATGGATTGCCTTAAAAAAATTCACCAAATGTAAGGCGTTTTATTTATGAATTACTATTGATATTAATTTATTATATTTAGACGATGAAGTGATTTCATTAGTAAATTTCTCACCTACGTTAGATACATCTGTAAGTGCGTTATCACAGGTGCATTATTTCCTTACTCTCATAGTCAGGAGTAGTGAATAGGTCGGAAATCTCTAACGACAGGAAAAAACCAATACTGGTTTTAAGTGCTTACTGAGCACGAGGGCGACACACCACCAACTTCCAGACTCTGAGTTGCTACTGATAATTTCTTGACATATAAACCCGGGAAATGATAGACAGTCACCACCGAAACCATTGGACTAAGAAGGCGATCAAATCGATAATATTTTCATATATAAAAGACTAAAATATCGATATAAATTTTGGAACAGTACGCACCTGATAAGCTAAAGCGTTCATAATAATAGAATAGGGCACCAGTCCTAACGGATGCACCTCTCTCATGAGCACGTTAGCCGGAATCTTGTGGAACTGAATGTACTCGAGGAAATTTCCTATCACATCTTTAAGTGACATGTTCTGATTCGTATCACAATACTTCTTACTCCACATTAGGGCTGCCTGAAATCGAAAAATTTATCATTAGTCTTAAGACACCGTGTGTTGAGGTACTAAAATAACCCATCACCTAAAAACTCAAAATATCTTGTAGCTTTTTAAATATGGCAACATAATCATTTAAAAAGTAGGGAGAACTCTACGTACAAACAATTGGCACTCACTTTTGGTACAAACATTGACCCTGTATAACATACAAGTGCCCGATGTCACGTTTATATGATGAAATCAAAAGTAAATCTAATTCGATTGTTACCTTTATCAACAAATTCGTAATTGCAAATTTAAGTGTTCAATAACGCTCACCGAAAACATTATCTCCAAAAAAAAAAATCGAAGACATGTAAAGCCCACCAACAAGTATTTGGTGTAGCGAGGCGTACTATTACTTTCTCCAAGCTTTCTCAGAAATGAACGTAAATCTATGATCAGCAGTTGGATTTACTTGCCTTTTAGTCATTATTAAAACCAATTCCATATTCATTAACATCATCATTTCCACCTGTTACAAGTCCACTGTTGAACATAAGCCTCCCCCAAGGAATGACAAAGAGCACGGTCCTGCGCCACATGCATCCATCGTTTTCCTACCAGCTCATCACTCCCTCTACCATCACTTCATCTAGGGATCGCCCTACACTTTACCTACTGATACGAAGCTACCACTCGAGAACCTTTTTCCCCATCGGTTGTCGAGTTTTCGAGCTGTATGGCCGGCCTGTTGCCACTTCAGCTTACTCATCCGTAAAGCTATGTTAGTCATTCTGGTTCTACTGTGTGGATATCGTCGTTTCTAAATTTATTACGCAGAGAAACCCAGAGCATAGCTCTCTCCATAGCTCGCTGAGCGACCTTGAGATTTCTTAAACAAAATCAGTTAATATTTTTAAATATCATGAATGAAAGTATACCATAAGAAAATTTTACGTTATTAAATTAGAAGTAATTTTAATTTGAATTTCATTAAGCATTTCAAAATAATTGTTGAATAAACAATTGTTTTTATGAAATTTACCCTCAATGTAATAATCAATTTAAATATTTATAAATTTACATCATATTTTTTTATTATTTATTACTTTGGCAATTAATTTATTATTGTATTTAAATTTTTAAACGAAAATGCATCCGAATAGTAGTTTTATTCAAATATATATTATGCCGGATATTTGAGAACCCCTCTTAAGGAAAAGGCCTCCAGCATAAAAAAATCTATAGCAGATCCAAAACAAGCAATTTTTTGAATAAATCTAACTTTACCGCGTTACATTTTAACTTGTTATTAATACATAATATATTCATTTTCTCTTCACTTCATTGATGCTGTGATCCGAGTGCCCTATCGTTCACTCGGAGACGATATTTGTGTAAAGCTCTCGTAAACTGATATCACTGATCTAATGTGATGATTTGAATCAATCATCTAATTCTATGAGTGATATTTGACATAATATACCAGTGATGTCAGTTTAAGTTAAAGACACATTATTAATCTTACATTCACGATTTGCGGGTAAGGATGTTATTAATGAATCTAAAATGAAAACTCCAGTGAAAATCACTGCCACTCAGCTAACTAATACTTATGGATATAACGGTTACTCTGCTTCTACTGCAAATATCTACATCACGAGTTCTATTACGCGAAGAAACTAGGAGCATAGACTTTTTCGTAGAAACATTCTTGAAACAAACTTAAAGCTAACGCACCTGAAACTTTGTAAACTCATCGGCCCGAAGTTCGTCTCTTGCCAAAATTAGACGTACAACATGCTGAGGTAGAAGAGTAAATGATCCCAAGTTTAATACTTCATTGCCATGCTCATCAACGAATTCCAGAACCTGAAATAACAGAAATAGTACAATGAGCAAATTTGGTCGATTTTAGCTAAACTGAGTAAAGGAGGAGGTTTAAAATTCGACTGTATTTTTTGTGTATTTGTTACGCGATACTTTCGTCAATTGTTACCAAATTGTTGTCACCTGTTTTTGATGATTGCTTTTTACTATTACGCGGGGTGGCTGATAATTCCGTAGCCTAAGGTACGTATTATGTACGTATATATGTTACGTGGTATTAATGAAATAAAATAATATATGGTTTCTATTTTTTATTTTTCAATATAATCTCCCTTAAGTAAAATACATTTCTCACATCTCACATACAATGCCTTTAACCCAGTCAAAAATTATTCTGTATCTTTTTCCTCAAAATGACGATCAACCGACCCCGTAAGTCCTTTTTCAAATTGAAAATCAGGAAAAAATTGCTAGATGCTAGGTCTAGGCTATACAGAGGGAAGTAAATCTCTGAGAATCCCGTATCATTCAGGGCTCTCCTCGCAACATGTGCGGTATGAACAGGCGTGTTGTCTTGCAGAAAGAGCATTCCACATGTTAATTTCACACGTTGTTTCTGTACAATAGCCTCGCGAACCTGAATTAATAAATTAGCATATATATTGGGCATTCATCGTAGTTTCCATGGGTAGGTATTAGATAAGCAAAATTCCCTCGCTATCCCAGAAACATTCGCCATTTTCTTGGACCGAATTTTCCAGCTTTAACTTCTTCGGCGGCTTTTTTCATTTTTTATCCATTGTATGGACTCTTGTTTGAACTCCGGATCATATTGGCAAATCCATGTTTTATCTATGGCGACTATCTGTTGCCAAATATCTTCTTTGTTATCGCCGACTAGCTCCAAAATATCTTTGCTTTGAAGTACCTCTAGTAAATAGATGTACACTTCATACTCAAGTGAGTTTAACATAAATTATATATATATATATATATATATATATATATATATATATATATATATATATATATTTGTGGTGATATTTCAAGAATTTGAGACGAAACACTCACTTTTATACTGCTTCTTTTATTTTCATTTAGTCACAAAAAACATATTACATCTTACTATCTTGATTACAATGACATTTTTTTAAAAGTGACATCTTACAATTTTATTTTCAGTTCAATAATCCAAGGAGGTTAATATTCTACAACAAACAATAAAAATAAACTACTCATTGCTAAATTATCCCACACGGCCGTCCTGATCATTCATCTGACCCAGATGAATCGTCTTCCGGCGAAATCCACGGCTTCATGAGATCAGCTGAGGTGGTTGTATTAATCGGGCCTTCGCTGATACCAATCTTCTTTACAACATAACGATCGTTTGAATTGCATTTAACAACTTCATAGGGTCCTAAGTACTTAGGACATAATTTACTTCCTTGTGAGAACTGTGTCTTTTTTATGGCTACCAAATCTCCAATATTAAAGGGTATTGCTGCTCTTCGCTTTTTATTATAGTTTTTTATGTTTTCTTCTTGTACTTTCTGTATAGATTCTTTGGCCTTCTTTCTAAGTTCTTCTCTTTTCTCGTTAAAATTCTGTATGCTTTCTTCTTCTATTAATTTCTGAAGTTCATCATCTTTATCTCTCATTTTAGTGCCAAAAAGCAGTTCAAATGGTGTCATTCTTATACTTCTTTGGTATGTTCCATTCAAACATCGTTGTACTTTGGACACACGGCGATACCATTTAGTCGGGTTATCAGCACTTAGTTTGCTCAACACGGCTATGATAATCTGATGGATGCGCTCAACTTGACCGTTTCCTCTGGGTTGTCCGGTGGTAATTGTACAGTGCGTTATATTCTCACTCTTACAATACTCCTGGAAGTCTCTTGAAGTAAAAGCAGCGTTTCGATCAGTAAAAATTCTTTCAGGTGCTCCAAAGGTTTGTTGTTGTAGTTTTAGTTTCTCTAAAGTCTCTTTCGTGGTTAAAGTCTTAACAGGGTAAATCCATGTAAATTTCGTATAAGCATCCACGACGGTTAGGATGTATTTGTAATTCTTGTGAGTCGAAGTCATTGGCCCTAGATGATCCACATGATATGTCGATAGTGGGACATTACCTTTGTCTATCGGGTGTAGGAATCCTTCTTTTTTACCTCTTTTGTGCGACATGAGAATGCATTCAATACAATTACTTATGACTTTTTTTTATTTTTTCAGTTAAATTTTCAATGAAATATTCCCTATTAATCAGTTCTTCAGTTTTTAAGATTCCAAAATGTCCTTTTTCGTGATTTTTCCTGATTATCTCATACTGCATTTTCTTAGGCACAACAATCAATTTACTGCCATCTTTCTCTTTATATAGTATTTCGTTCTGTATGATATAATCCTTGTATTTTTCTGTTTCTAAAATTCTTTTAATCAGTCTCACATACTCGTCTTCATTCTGTGCTTTCTTTAAATGAGCTGTAGTTTCAGTAAGTATCATACAGATAGGATATCTGCTCAGTGCGTCGGCGTGTCTCATTCGTGTTCCTGGTCTGTGTTCGATCTTGTAGTCGTATTCTTCTAGAAGCAGGGCCCAACGAGCGACTCTAGGTGGTAAGTCCTTTTTTTGTAGTGTCATAGTAAGAGCAGAGCAATCTGTAACTATTTTAAATTTTATCCCAAGAAGGTAAACTCGGAACTTCTTTATGGCAGCAACAATAGCTAAAATTTCTAAGTAATAACTATGGTATTTTCTTTCAGCTGGAGTTGTTTTTTTACTCATATAGTGCACGGGGTGAAATTGATTGTCTTTAGGGCTTCTTTGTAGAAGTACAGCTCCATAACCGTCAGTACTTGCGTCGGTGTGTAATTCTGTCTCTAAATCTGGATTGAATATTCGGAGAACTGGTGAGTTACACAATATTTGTTTCAATTCTAGAAAAGCTTTCTCACACCTTTCATCAAAATTGAATACAGCATCTTTCTTTAACAAATCCGTCATCGGTTTTGCAATCAGGGAATAGTTTTTTATAAACTTTCTGAAATACCCTGTCAGTCCAAGGAATGACTGCACAGTTTTTATATTGTTTGGTTTCTTGAAATTCGCTACAGCTTTAATCTTTTCTGGAGACGGTCTTACTTCGTTGTCACAAATAATATATCCAAGATATTGGATTTCCTTCTTTAAAAAATTGCATTTCTTCCAATTAAACTCTAGACCGAATTCTTCGCTTCTTATAAATACTTTATCTAGCTTACTTATTCCTCCTTCTTCTGTTATCGAGGGTATGATTAAATCATCAAGGTACACTAGCAGTGTCCCATCGGTAATTAGATAGCTGAAGATATCGTTAATAAATCTTTGAAACACAGATGGCGCTGTACATAATCCATAAGGCATTCTTTGAAATTCGTACTGGCCTTGGGGTATTACGAATGAGGTGTACTTTTGACTATCTTTGTGTACTTTCACATGTAAAAAGCCATTCTTCAGATCAAGAGACGTGAAAATTTTGGCCTCCTTTAACTTGTCTATCTGGTCTTCTATTATAGGTAGGGGAAATCTTTCTTTAATTACCTTTTTATTTAATCGTCGATAATCTATACACATTCTACGTGACCCATCTTTTTTATCAGCCAGAACCACAGGACAGGCGAAATCAGATTTGCTAGGTTTGATTATTCCTTTGTCTAACCATTCTTTTACTTGCATATTCACGGCATTCATTTCTAAGAGTGACAAACGTCGGGGATTCTGAAAAACTGGTTCTTCATCGGTAAGTATTATTTTCAATTCAACGTTACTTTCTTTCTTCTTTTCACTAGGTCTGTACTCTTCACACATCTTACGAATCTTTTCCGCGTATTTAGAATCTCCTATATCATATTCTTGTTCATTATCCTTTTCCTCCATTAGAAGTGTAAGATGCATAATCTTTTGTATAAAGACACCTTCAGGAGTGAAACACACTTCGAAATCTTTAAGGATAGGATTTCCAATCAGTAAAGTTACCGGTATCTCGTTGTCTTTTACAACATGAAACTTGACATCTGTGTAGTAATTGTCAATTTGAACATTGGCTGTAAACATTCCTTCAGTAAGAATTTGTTTTTCGGCTATTCCTGTTATACACGTTGATTCTGTTTTATAATCTTTAATTCTCTCTTTAACCTTCTCGAATTCTGATTTTGTTATGAGGTTAATATCACTTCCAGTATCTATTAAGGTAACAAATTCTTTACCATTAATCTTTATCTTTTTGTAGGGTACTTTCTCTTCTTCACTTTTATTTCTAATTTTCAGCGTCTTCTTAGGTTTGCTTGTACATTCAGTTGATTTGTGACCAAATTCATTGCATTTAAAGCATTTGACTCCCCTTTGGACAGGTGGGCGATTGATGATCCAGTTCGCCACAGTTGTAACATCTTTTTCCATGAGTCATCTTACGGGTTGAATGATGCCCATGTGATTGGCCAGACTGTGCCGATTTGTTAGGCACCTTCGTTCTAAAAGCACTGTAGATTTCTAACTTCCTGCGAAAATCCTTTATGTCTGTAGCGCCATATAAAATAACTTTATTGGTCTCTAAATCACGAATACCATCAATGACATACTCAATCAGCGCAGCGTCTTCAACCTTGCCATGAAGTGCTAATTCTTTCATAGACAGGAAATATTGTTGGTAAGTTTCATCGTTCTTCATCTTACGCGATGCAAGTTTCTTATGTATGATTGCGCTATTAATCTTGGGGCCAAATTCTTCCTTAAGTGACTTTTTTCAAACTCGCGTAGTCCTTTACTCTTCCCAAAGATCGTAAAAATAGCTTGGCAGTACCGTCTAAAAGTCTCTTTGCATAGACCAGCTTCTCGACTTTAGTCCACTTCATAATTTCGGCAGTATCTTCAAATTCGTCAATAAATGTCTCAATAGGATAGGTATCATCTCCAGTAAAAATGTTCATTGACTTCTCCAAGTCTTTAAATGAAATCTGTATATCTAACTCCTGCCCTTCATCTTCACTTTCTTTTACATCTTTCTTCGGCGGCATTGTGGTTGTCAAACTACTATTAGTCTTTCTTTTTCTAGTCGTGCAAAATGACAGCTTATTTGAACTCATTAAGTTTTCAGTCCTTAAAATAAATTTTCATATCCAAATTCCAAAACGTTGTAATAAATCTTCAAATCTTTAGTCTTCGTCTCGCCTAAAATTTTGGGCTATCCCGGACGAGCCCCCAAAGTTGTGGTGATATTTCAAGAATTTGAGACGAAACACTCACTTATATACTGCTTCTTTTATTTTCATTTAGTCACAAAAAACATATTACATCTTACTATCTTGATTACAATGATATTTTTTTAAAAGTGACATCTTACAATTTTATTTTCAGTTCAATAATCCAAGGAGGTTAATATTCTACAACAAACAATAAAAATAAACTACTCAATTGCTAAATTATCCCACATATATATAATTTTGTTTGTACATATTTTATTTCTATATGCATATTCGACGGTGGACTATTACTGATTTTTAGTATTGTTGACGATAATGAATGACAATGTACGAGTATTCGATGTTAATACTAATATTTGAAGTAGTAAAGTAGTTTTCAAATAGAGAAGAACTAAGCCCTGTTGAATCCACTGTTTTTCTTGGCATCACTCTTGACGCAAAGCTTCAAGTTGGGTCCCATATATCTAAGCTAACAGCAGACTAAGCTAGTAGCAGGTCGATTAGTTTATTTCATTTATTTCTTTAGCATAAAGTCTTATTGGATTTTGAACACATATTTTCTAAAACAAAATTTGTAAATAGCTTGTACAACCTCTTATATTGCATTATTTACTTTTTTCTTAAAGTCTCGCTGGGTTTCTTGCTGATTCTTCCCAGAACAGAGGTTGGTTTTCCGAACCAGTGGTAAAGCAATTATAAGAATGACAAGTTATCTATACTGAATAAAAATTATTTTGTTCTATTAAAGTAACACATTAGTTAATGAAAATATGAAGTAATTAGATATTGATGTCTTGCACATTCAAGTACTGAAAAAATTTCTATAACGAAAATATACTATACAAACTATTACTAAGCATTACATTCATGTTCCAACGATTTGTGAGATAGAGGAAGCTAATACGATTACAGGCTATGAAGCATTCTAATTAAGTCCTCGTGAACACAAACAACTAGCTTGATTTAACTGTAAGAGTCGATGTGTTGAAGCTGCGAAGTCCCCTTAAATATAGTGTAATCTCGCTTGTCACTCTAAAAATTAAAATTTCAATGAAACATACCTTTTGAACTAAAGATTTCGTGCATTTGTATTGGATATATCTTTCCGCAGACGCTAAAAGGGCGCACACCGTATCCACTGTGATGCAACATTGGACAAAACCAGCGCAAGCTCGCCGGAGCTCATCCAGGCCATAATAATCCGCTGCATTCATCACACCTTTCAAATATTAAACATCTTATTAAAACATCTGTTCATTTATCGTTTGATCAACAAAATGAAATCTTATTTCTTTAAGTTTTTTGAGTATGGATACATCTTTCAGTCATGTAGCGTCACCAAATGTTAGTATACAATCGCTAATTTTTACTGAACAGGATTCTCACTTAATAATGAACATTTTTTTTAAATAAAAATTAAAGAGAAATTTTTTTATCGCAGTATTATTAATTGCAAGTCATAAAAATCTTAAATATAAAACATTAGCAATTACAATAATATGCTTTTACATTGCGAGGGTATTTTTTTACTTTAAAGTAAATAAGTTGATAAGTCAAGATATGAAATTATTAACTTAATTTTGCATAAAAGTATCTGATTCTTTTTACTCAAATCTATTAAATATCAAAGAGTAATGGAGTCTTTTAGAAGAATAAAATGAATACCTATTCGTCGATAGCTCTCAAAAATGGACGATGAAAACTTATTTAAGTGCCCGCCATCTTCGCCTATAATCTAATTTGCAATGTCAGGGTATATAAGGTATTAACAAGAATCCTTAACAGAAAATATAAAATCTGTGTCATGACTTTATTTTCACAATTTAATTAAACACATTCATGGTAAAATCGTGTAGTGGCAGTGTAAGAATATCCACTACCCCATATCATCCTGAAGGTGGCGTAAGAAGCGACAGAAGAAAAATGAAACAGGAGATAGGCAGCATCATCTTCCTAATAACTATTCAAAATAATAAAAAAACTTCGGTTGCCAAGCGTGGCAACTATGGCAAAATCCCCCTATGAGTTAATCTATGAGAGAGGCCTATGTTCAGCAGTGGACTTTTATATGCTGTAATGTAATGAAAATACCAGAATACATACGTTGTAAGATTTCTATAATAAACTAATTTATATGAATAAAATTTCGTATGAATGGGTATTGCAATATAGGTTTCTCTCTCTCTCTCTAAAAAAATTATCATCGTAATACAACACTTCGCAATGTTGTCTTTTTATAGGTTAAATATATATTTCCCTCAATCAAGAATCAAAATGTTGCATGATTCGTTTAAGGTTTAGTTGATTATTTGTGCAATAATATTAATTGAATTTTTAGTATAAATATTCGGGTACTGGGCTTGATTTGTATTTTACTAAGATCTTGACCAACAGTGTCACAAGATTGATTAAAAAACAAAGGAACTAACAGCTGCGGCACATACGCCGTTATTACAAAAATTATAAAAGGTGTCTAAAGCAATTTAAATTATTTTAATTACTAGCTGTTACCTGCGGCTTCGCCCGCATGGTCACTGGGAAATGAACTATCCATTGCTTTTTGAATTGAAAGAAAACTGAGTTTTATAGATTTGTCAGAGATGCAGCCATTGAAAGGAAACTGAGCAAACTTGATTAGTCAGCCTATTTAAATGTCTTGAAACGCAGCGCATAGGAAAGCATGAAAATAGCCTGTTTATTCCAAATGGAAATGGGATATTTTTTTAATTAAAGGAAACTGAGCATAATTATCCGCCAGGGATGCAGACTTTTGAAAAGAAACTAAACTAATTTAGATGGCTGACGGTTTTTCTAAGTTGACCCCCGCTACCTGTAACGTTTGCCCTTGCGCTTTATTAATTGTCATTGCAAAACTGAGCTTAATAGGGAACTGCAACCTTTTGAATTGAAAAGGAAGATCTGTGGGAATTATAGGGGCACGTGGTATAATAACATTTTCACCTTTTCCTACGCCTGTCAAAATTGTAGCACCGATTATGTTCCGTCCAAGATGTGTCACACGCAGCCTTGTCGCGTTACATAGCCGAGGAGCATCTAAATTTCGCATTAGCATGACTGGGATGCCTAATTTTAATTGAAGCTTATGTGAGGGCACACCTGACAACTCTAGAGAATTAGGAAACTCTACGGGATATACGGATACGGTGCTCTGTTCTGTGTCCATAACTGTGTCTACTGACAAATACTCTGTTATTTTTCTTGCTACTTCGCTTAATATATCTGAATTTATTTTGTTAACGCTCTCATTTTTTGGTGCAAGAATCGCCTTTTCACATAACCATTTGTATGAAGACAAATGGTTATGTGCATGTTGTTCGTTAAATTTGAATAAACGCTCGCAATTAATTCGAAATGACTCTGTACTAAATTACAAAAATCTCTCGTCAATTAAACGCAGCCCTCAGCATACGTTTCCAACCGCCCACCGCCAATTTTTAATAGTGTGTCAGCATAGTTTCCAGCATTGATATCATTATACAAATGCACTCTCATATTCGTAGTTAAACTGAATTTTGTCACCTTGTTCCATAAAATAGACGACTTGAGGCATGCTTTAATTTCATCTGCAGGGTCACACCTTTTGAATGACAGGTAAAGTTTGGCGAAAGTCATCAGCCAGTAAAACCACCATTCCTTCTATTACATCGGTATTGCTGCGCAAATCCTGGAGCGTTCGATTTAGTGCTTCTACCGCTTTTTTATACGGCATTTTCGTCCACACTAAAAGTTTGCATTGTCGTAGATTTTCGTGCACTATTTTTGCTAAAGTTCCAGATCGGCGATTCTTCCTGGGCTAGATTTAGAGGGAGTTTTAAAACAGAATGTGCAGTTAGGCCCCCGCTTAGCAGCGTGGCGGCTATACCGGAGGAACCTACGGCCACAGCAAAGTTTTTATCTTTCCGTACTTGCGCTAATAATAAATTTAACAAAAATGTCTTCCCAGTTCCTCCAGGGGCATCTAAAAAGAAAAGTGCACCATTTCCAGATTCAATTTGTCCTAATACTTTGTCAAAAACTCGTTTTTGTACGGGAAGCAAGCGGGGTACAAATTCGGCTACTTGCTGCTGCAAAGCTGGTATACCGTAGTTTGTTTCACGTATAATTTCATCACTTAGTTCATTTTCGGTTGTTCGCTAAGGGCTTATCATTCCAAAGTCGCTTATATTTTTTCTGTCTACCATTGCCATTACTTTATGTTCAATTTTTTCAAGTGCTTCATTATAAATGTGTTCATTGTATGTCATGTTCGCGTTTGTCTGCTGTAGCCTTCGCAAAATATCTTCCGCCATGTACTCTTTATATTTGTCCCACAATTCATGTGCATTAGATAGCCCGCAAGATGATATGAAAGTTGCATAAAGATCCCTAATTTTGGCTGGTGACTGGCACTGCACAGCTTCCTCCATGGTTTCATCCCAGTGATTATCATTTTCTAAAAGATGCAGAGCTTCACATACTTCTCTATAAGTTGCGCATTCCTGACCGTTGACATTTTTAAGGTCTTTATATCCTGTAGGATCTCGAACATGGTGCAGCAGCAATCGTAAACAGAAACATTCAAAATTAGTTACATGGACGGTATACACACGACCAAGGGCATCTGATGACTTTACACCGGGCCGATTGGCAACAGGCGCGCCTTGAATACGGCGTTTTCACTCCTTCTTAGATATGTTCCAAGTATAATAGCGGGAAACTTCAGAATATAACAACGTTTTTGCAAAGGCGTCGGTTTGACAAAGTTGAAAGAAGGCTGTTAGTGTAGTTTTTGGCGGTGATGCAATTCTTTCTTGGAAATTTCTTTCGGTGAAATATACATGCTCTCCATTTTCTAAGTGCACAGTAAGGTGACTAACTGTTGGGTGCCTTTCGTGTAAAGGGAATCCAAGGAGACGCCACGCTGTCTCGTTACTGCTGACATAACGCCCTGCTAGAAAGGTCTGAACTTCATTAACGGGATTTGCCTCACCTTCACTCCTGAGATTAAATATTGCTTGGTCGCTTCCTTTATTTACTTACAGATATACTTGATTGCGCGGACGGAGCTACATGCTTCTACATTAATGTGGGCATTAAACATTTTACATAGAATGGGACAATCCAGCTGTTATCTAAGGTTTAAGTTTTAGTTAAGGTTCGAACGCTCCAGAGCGAGATTTGATTGTAACTTTCCTGCCACCATCTTTGGGAGCTCTGCGTCTGTATAAAGGGTAGCCATTGTCATTTTGCACTGTTTCTTTTAATAGCTGTTTAGGGAATTTCTTTGTACATTTTCCTTCTTTCATACATGGCATTTTCCTTCTTTCCATGGCGATATTGAATTTTGTGCTCCACATGGACCGTGAATCGTATTTCGGAAGATGGTATCATACAATTCTTTATCTTCTTCAGGATCCGGAATCTCGGCGCTTATTATGTCGTCTATTTGGCTGGGCCGCAACTTCTCTTTAAGCCACATTAGAATGTGGGCATGCGGTAATCCTCTTTTTTTGCCATTCAATTGAATACATGAAGCACTGCACATCTCCGAAAATTTTCCCTTCGTTAATTACATACATTAATTTTTGTACTTTTAATCTAAATACTCTAGCAACTAATTCGTATGTGTCAGTACTTTTTTGGCCCGGCATTAGCTCCTCGGTTATTTCTTTCCACGTGGGATTGCAAGTAAAAGTAACAAAAAGATCAGGTCTTCCGTAAGTTCGTACATAGGCAAATTCGTCTTGTGTGTAATCATGTAGGTAGCGGGGACTGTTAACGAATTATGAGGGCAGAATTACCATTTTACCTAAATCTCTGGGGTTTACATTGGCGTCGCTAGAAACTGCATCTTGTAAATGTATATAATTCTCAACGCGCAGCTTTTTTGATTTGAAGATATAACGGAGATGTTCACTTTCTACCTTCACATACATGCCTACCAAAAATTGATGAAATAATTATCTACACCGGGCTAAGAGGTTAAAATCATTTTCTCGCAACATCATATGATACGCATAAAAATCAATACATGATACTTTTTTGTTTGGATTAGGCTCCTTTGTGACCGGGTTAATGAGTGGAATTTGAAAATGATAACCCTCTTGTCCTTTGCAATAAATCAATGTGTATTGCAGAGCGTCATAAAACTTGTGTGTATCGGCTACCCGTTGCAACGTATCATCACGTGCTCGCAAGACAATGTCTCGTGAAGAAAATTGATCACCACTAATTACTGTTTCTATTTCGTTTATCAAAGGTGCATTGTAGCGCCTTTCATGCTCTCCTCGAGGGGTCCGATCTGCGTGAATGACGACTTTATAATCCTCTTCAGGTAGGTTTTCTAAAGCAGTTTTAAATGTTTTGACTAAAATGTTACGTTCATGCAAGAATCTTTGAATTTTGTACACTGTGTCTCTCTCAACTCCCTGGATAAATTGGCAGCGACATTCTACCTCAATTTCTTCATCACCCATAAAATATACTTGTAAAAATTTATGCTGTTCGTTTTCAACTGGAAAAAGTTAACCTATGCTATGATAAATTTGCCCTTGCACCCTAAATGTAGGCGAAAATCCCGGCATTATTATTTCCCGGTCAACTCCGAAGGACGTCATTTGAAAGCATGAGTTTCCGGATCCTGTTTAAAAAGCGCCGTAACTCATTAGCATCACATAAAAAGAGAGTTTTCAAAGGTTCTTCTAGTTCCCCAAGTAACAGAAGAGACACTTTACCATTGGAACAGCACATGCCTGCGGTCTCACCTTCCATTTTAAAGCGCTGCAAAATCGACATGCCTTGTCCATCAGTCCGATAAAAACTAACCTGTGATTTTTTATAATCAATCAACGGATCATAATTGAATGCTGCGTCATTAAAAACCGACCAATTGTTTCTTTGAAAATTTTCTCGACGTTCAGCTTGTAGCTGCGCATTTGCATCTCTTCGCGCCTGTGTCTGTTCTGGTGTTTCAGATGCCCTTATAGTAGATTGACGTTCAGCTTGCTCAATGAGTCTGTGTTGAGTTTCATCAGGTGTTTCCGCGGCTCTTAAGACGGCCTGACGTTCCGCTTGTTCGAATAGCCTTTGCTGACTTTGAGCAGGTGTTTCAGTAGCTCTTAAAGTAGATTGATGCTCTGCCTGTTCAAGACGCCTTTGCTCACCTTGATCAGGTGTTTCAGTAGCTCTTAAAGTAGCTTGACGCTCTGCCTGTTCAAGACGCCTTTGCTGACTTTGAGCAGGTGTTTCAGTAGCTCTTAAAGTAGCTTGACGCTCTGCCTGTTCAAGACGCCTTCACTGACTTTGAGAAGGTGTTTCAGAAGCTCTTAAAATAGCCTGACGCTCTGTCTAATCAAGACGCCTTTGCTGACGTTAAGAAGGTGTCTCAGATGCTTTAAAAGCAGCCTGACGCTCTGCTTGTTCTTGCCTTCTCAGTTCAGCATCTTTTAAAGATTTCTTTAGCTTCTTTAGCATCGAGCTAATCTTTGTGCTTGTTTTTGAGAAGATACTCTTGAAAGGCTGGACTTACGTTTGCAAGGCATAATGAGGCAATAAAAAATTAAATTTCCTTTTAAATATTTTTTATAAGCAAATTCAAAATATCTAAAAGGAATAAATATTCCTTTTAAATATTTTTTTAAAATCAAAACAACAAAACCAATTCAAGACGCAACACGAATCTGAAAACGATAGCCAAAAAAATCGAATCAACTTAAACCAAATCACAAAACAAATCGCAGAAAACCGAAATCGAAAGCAGTAGTCAATATAAATATAATCAACGAAAAAGAAGTAATCTATACTATCTATACTCTTAATATTCCTTTGAAATATTGTTAAACAACCTAAAACAACGAATACCAATTCATGATTCTAAATAAACAAAATCCAAAATCAAAGCCAGAGTCTAAATATGTATAAAGGAATACCAACAAAATCAACAAAACCGATCCAAGAAAATATACAAATCCGAAAATGAAAGCCAATATAAATCCATTCAACCTTAATCAAATCACAAAGCAAATAACAAACAACCGAAATCGAAAGCAGGTAGTCGAATAAGCTACGAAATAGAAACAATTTAAGCGTATAGGTACCGCATGCACTATAAGTTGACGGGACGCTCAACAGCGGGAGTTAAGTACATGTCAGGAAATATTCCGTTACCGCGTTTTAACAACCTAGTAACATCTAGCGGAATCAATTTTAACTATGTATACGTTAGTTAATACGAACTCTCAAAAATATTTTTCTTATAATTTTGCACAATTTTTCTTATTGTAATACCGATTCATTCATAACCACATATAAGAACTGTATTCATTTCCGTTCAATAAATATTACTAAGGCTTATTAATAAGGCTTACTAAGAACTGTTTCTACCACAGTTAAGTATTAGTTAAAGGTGAAAGCGTGACAGGTGGTGATAGTATTTCTGATCCATACTTATAATCACGCCTGTAATCCTTGCGGGGTAGGCAGAGCATCAACGGATTACTTAATATCGTCTGCGAGGTTATCGCCTATTCTGTGAATTACAATGCACCAAAACGTTTGAAGAAAAGCAGCTGGTGAATTTTATGTTTTTTATCGCTCTCTTTCCGGTCCTGCGTGGAAAAATACAGATCCATACATTTTTTATCTTAATTTTGGTAAAAATACATAATAATCCAGATATTCTGTCCTTCTGTGTTCGTTCATGGTACCGTCGTCCGTCTTCTAGAATCACGGTGGCGCCACCTAGCTGAATTTAATTTTGCAACATATTCGATTTTCCCACGGGAATGATATGTTTTTCCGCTGAAAAAAGTATCCTATGTCACTCTACAGCCACCAAACTATCCCCATACCAAAATTCTAGCCTTGCCGACGCTCTGTTGCGACGTGAAAGAAGGACAAACTTTTGCAACATATTCTATTTTCCCACGGGAATGAGGCTGTAGAGTGACATAGGCTACTTTTTTCCGCGGAAAACATCTCATTTCCGTGGGAAAATAGAATATTTCCCACGGGAACGGGAATGAGATGTTTTTCCGCGGAAAAAATAGCTTATGTCACTCTACAGCCACCGAACTATCCCCATACCAAAATTCATGCCATGCCGACGCTCTGTTGCGAAGTGAAAGAAGGACAAACATTTGCAACATATTTTATTTTCCCACGGGATTTTACTTTTTTTTTTCACATACCAGCGTAAAATAGCTTAATGTTGATGTGTTTCGTATGGTGAGTCTAGAGAACCGGAGTCCCTTTTTACGGAAATGAGGTATTCCACCTTAGTCCTCATGTGTGACAACTGACAATGCTGCTGAATTTCGATTCGTTATCGAGGATAGATGTAGATGTCTATGGGCCACAGCAACTACTTACCATCAGGTGGACTGTGTGCTCGTTTGTCACCCTATCCTATAAACAATAACTTTTGGATTAATTAGAAATTTTACCCGTCAAATACATATAGATATTCACACACTTAAAATTTTCCAAAGAATGTATATTTCATTTTAATTTATTGATTGTATTAGCTTATAGGCCAATTTCGCCTAGAATCATAACAAAGACAATTGGCTGAGAATCATTACAAAGTCAAAGTTTGTTCATGTCTCTGGATTTTAATTTTAAGTTTCCTAGCTTTATTCTTTTTAGTTTTCCCTTATATAAGTTAGTGCCATGTTCAATATGAATATATTTTTTTAAGGATTACTAGATGATACTCGCTCTCTTCGCTGGGTGCACGATAATATTTTATTACTGAACCTAGATGTAAAATATCAAGCAATATTTTTTTTTGATGGGACTATCGTGAATTCCGTTCTTAGTGAGTGTCTGCTATGCAAAATGAGTAACTATACAAAATTTAAAGTCAATCGATACCGAATATATAGTTTTAGAGTTCTCGTGATTAGTCAGACAGTCAGTGGTATTTCGCGTATTGTATATAAAATTAGAGTTTATATGTTAATGTTACAATCTATAGTTAAAATTTTGATTAAACTCTAATTTTATTCCTTGTCTATAGTTAATGATATTTAAGTCTTATTATAATTTATGTTTAACGTCTATATAAAAAATGAAAAAATACCAAATCATACCTAGTAGGGTCCGTGGCTGAAGTGTTACACATCCTGTGTGAATGTATTCTATTAATTGTCGGAAAACATCGGGTTCAAATTCTTCGATTATAAGAGTTTGATGTTGCTGAGACGACGGCTGATAAATAAAATAAATTATATTAGAGTTAATTAATACGCAATATTAACATAGAATACTATAATACATACATAATAGAACAGGGGAGTGGGCGGCGCCTGTGTAGCTACTAAAATGTCACTAACATGTCAATTCACACGAATAAATGTCAACACGAGATGTGTTTTGACGTTACAATCGTTTCCAAATTTCGCATGAAAATTATTTAGAAAATGCCAAATTGCATGCTATTTACAAATAAATATGTATTAAAATCTGTCTGTCAACACAGCGAATCGTGTTTGTAGTAGTGATAATATAGGTACGAGGGCGGCACTGAAAATTTCGGGAATCAAGGAAGTGATACAACATTACTATTTAAAAGTGTATTTATTGCTTTTCCAAGTATTGTCCGCGAAATTTGACACATTTTTCCATACGATGGAACCAATCATTGTATCAACCATTCCATTCGGAAGTTGGGGTCTCCAAAATGGCCGTTTTGTAGGATGAAAATCTATGTCCACGCAATTTATGCTTTATTTTAGGGAAAGTACAAATCATTAGGGCTTAGGTCGGGGCTGATCGGCGGATAGTCTAATACTTCTATATTTTCTTGCTCTAAAAACTCTTTTGTTCTGTGTGCGGTGTGAGAACTCGCATTGTCGTGATGGAGGATGACGCGGCGGTTGCAGTTCTCTTTACGGAGTTCAGAAACGACCTGTGGCAAACCAATGCTAGCATACCATTCTCCAACCCTTCTTTCCTCCAACCGTTCTTTGTCCCTCAAGAGGAATAGTCGTAACATGGCCGGTTTTGGAGACAAACGTGGCCACAATTTTTTTTGCAACACTCCGTGAACGAACAATTTTTGTTGGCTTTAACTCATTTTCGAACACCCAAACTCGACACTGGTTTTTTATTTTGGGTTCGTACGCGTATATCCAGGATTCGTCACCTGATACGATGTTGTATACAGCATTTGAGGATTCTGCGTGGAATCTTTCAAGAGTTCTGATGCACCAAGTAACGCGAGCCGCTTTTTGCTCTTCACAGAGCGAATGCGGTATCCATCGGGAAAACAACTTATTTACACCTAATTGCAATATAATTTTTATTTGACTCATGCCAATGTCTAAAGTTGCCCGAATTTCGCGGTATGTCACATGTCGATCTTCCTCAATCAGCTTACGCACAGCATCAACGTTTTCTTGGGTGACTGCAATTTTTGGACGACCTTGACGGGGATCATCTCTGAGCTTGACACGTCCACGTTGAAATTCAGCAAACAGTGATAAATTGCAGTTTTGGATGGGGCTTCATCAGCAATTGCATAAATCATCCGGTCAACACACTGTTTTAGTGTTAAACCACTTCGAAAGTCATAATAAATCATCGCTCTCGAGTCAATTGCATTTTCTCAACGACTGAACAAGTTTGACAAAACCTTGTGACAATACCGAGAATCTTTTTTTAAATAAATAAATGGTATTCGATTTTTAAAACCAAGGAGTTTTCAATTAAAAAGATTTTAATATGACAGGAACAGTGGAATTATTCCATTCCCGATACTTTTAGTGCAGCCTAGGTACGACGTAATTGCTAATATGTACTAATTATGTTATAATAGTTGTAATGTGTTTGTATTATATAATAGTTGCTGCCCTTTTTTTTCGGATAGGCGACGCCTATCCTCGAACAAAATAAGGTTGACAGCCATCCTATTGTGTATTATAGTATTCTATGAATATGAAGACGTCTTGTGCCCAATATGTATTGATATTGAGTAATTTTGCAGTTCTCTTCACCTTATATTTACCTCCATAGCACATATTACTAACTCTTTACTGAGAACTCCAAAAAATTTAACCAACAGTAAAAGTAACAAGAGAGTAAAATATAACAAGATATTCAAAAAGTTTTATTTAGGATCAGTGGCGAACGTTTTTAGTAAAATGTATAAAATGTATTTTTATTTAGCATACAAAAGCGCTTCCAGACATACTAATGCACGACTTTTTGCCAAATCGATAAAAATGCGTACATCATGGCGCAATAAAAATATTTAAGCGAAGTGTCGACATTAATTTATGTAATGCGTGTTATTAAAACAAACATTAAGCGAAATTAATCATTATAAAAACATAACAACCCACAAATATTTAAAATTTTCATAAATCATGATATGAGCACCATGCTTTTAAAAGATTGAAAGTTTAAATATAAGAAATCGAGATCATAGTAACACTAACTATTAAAACTTACATTTAGAAATTTCAAATAAAACCTAATAAAAAATGAATAAATAATCATGCAAGTCAGTGTCCATTTTAGAACAAAATTTCAGTCTCGATTTATGCAGACTATAACGAACCTAACTACAACAAGTGTATGAAACAGTAAAAATTTTAAATTGATTTTGATATTAAATTTTTAAAATTGTCTTCCTACAACACCGTTAATTTTGCCTTTACCTCTTGTATTGGAGCCAATTGCTGCGCGAAAGTTGACCTCTGTAGTAGAAATAGTAAAAATAATTTTGATACTTTAAAAACTTAAACGTTTATGTTACAAATCCAATTAATTGTCTAATCATGAGAAATTGTCGCATGGAATTGTTCATGCAATGAATGAACAAATTCGTCAAATGGTTCTTAAAGGGCTACAGAATGGTTATTATCAATATTCGAGTATTTATAGGTTAATTTTTTAATGTTTTCAGAATTATTAAAAGCGTTTACATGCTGAAACTATTTAATTAATGAAGGCCTTAATATAATACATATTAAGACGTAGTTTCGGTTTGATGTTCAAATGAAGTGAATTCATTATATTTACTGAAGCTATTTAACCCATTACACACGTACAAACAATGGTAAGCGAATAATCAATTATCTAAGGTTGAATTATCCTTTAACGCTCTTCAATCAATTTAAGTACTTATAATATCTTTATTCATCTTATAAAATATTTAAAACTTATGAATGTTTTTCGAAAAGAGTGATAATAATATAGCTTTACCTGTTGTGCTGCGTTTTGAAGATTTAATAATGGCTCGGATGACCTTTTTAGGAATAGTCTCAGTTTGTTTTCGCGCGGTGCAGGTTCTTTTTTTCTCTGAGGACTTGGTGCTTGATAGAGCATTTTTTGGAAAACCCTGTACGGAAAAGAAAGTAACGATGTATTTTATATATAAAATATATAAATTAATAAGAAATGTATTAAGGTTCTTTCCTTATACAACAGCAACGTACATTTAGCTGTAATTGAAATAGTTAAAAAAATATATTTGTTTTAATCATTTCAGAATTTATTTGCAAATCCGTTTAAGAACACAAAAACCACGTTACGTAAAGATACTTGTATCAATTAGTCTAATTTCCATAAGTCGGTCGATAAACAACCAGGAGATGTAATACTATTTCTTTAAATTATAATATTTATTATTTTATGTTAATCGAAAAAGTCATTTTATAGTATAGTGCAACATATTTTATTCACCTGCTTCGTGCTGCCAAAACAGCTTTGACAGCGCACACGGGTTCTCTAGTGTCACCAACTAGAAACGTGACGTCACACAACTCGGGCATCGAAGCTAAGAACTTCATGTCCTCTGCTAATCCTGATTTGTTTTCAAACGTGCTGAGGTCTGGCTCCGCCTCCATTGCTGCTAAAGCCCCGCTTCTCATTGACGTCTAAAATTAGGAAAAATACTATCTTTAAAAAGGATATTGCATGTCACGGGAACTTTTTTTATCATTGCGTCACATAAATGTAATAAAAGTACACTAAGAGAAATGAGGGGAAAATTATTTCACTTGGACTACTTTTATTAGAGATAGACGGATAGATGGCGAAATAAATACGTTTAAACTTGAATGACCAACGTGGATGAAAAAGTATATTTACTAACGAAATTAAAAAAATAATAATTGAAAAAAAATGGAAATAATTACTAGAAACACTAACAACAAAATGTGATATATTTTAGATTTAACTTACTTCGTCTAAACTAAAATGTCTGGTCACAGTTATTTCCATTTTTAATATTCAATAAGGAAAATAATACAATCGTTCGCTATCGGCGAGTCTCAAACAGCGACTGTCTGTAGAAAGGAAATTATGGGGAACGCTTCAATTTCCACAAAGTGAATAGCGTCTGGTCCAAATACACAGGGAAACGCCTTATGTAATAATTTTGTCTAAACTAACGTCTATCAGAAAAATCTAACTAATTACAAAACAAAGGTTTTCTAAAAAATTATGCTCTTAAAAATATATGCAACATTAGTTCAAATTAAGAAAACGAATACTTGACACGATAAACTACACAAAGAAAAATATATTCTACATTGATCCTTAAAATCACCAAGAGAAATAAAAGGGCAATCAACAAAAACCCCTGCAAGATTACATGAAATGACCAAAAAAGGTTATACACCTTGCTTTTATGTAAAATTTAAGCTAATTTAAAAATGTTTTATTTAATCATGCAAGAAACTACAAAAAGTCTTTCAGATAGAGTTAAGTGTTTTTTTTTTCACTTTAAGATAAAAATACTGACTAATAATTAGTAAGAAGCTTATAGCCGTAAACAAACGAGGTAAGAGTCCTCCCGTATTTTTATCGCAAAAACCTCTACACGGTAATGTGCTTTAGTTTTCCCTATTTACTGTAGACTAGTTTAAAGTTAATAAGTATTATGTAATCATTTACATTTTGTTAGTAATTGACAGGCTTAATAAGTCGATTGACTTTCACAAATCAAAAATATATATACGCCTATGTATCTCTCGAGAACCATATTCTAGTATTGATCACTAAACCTGATAAGCGGATTGGCGATCCTTCATATTTAAGACTCCGCTCGCTTGTTGATTTAAGCAATCAGTGCGTCAGGAGACGAAATGTTGCCCCCACTACACTAATGCAATGAAATAAATGTAATAATAATCAATGAAGTTCTTGAAAGGTTGTCCATTACTATAGAGTGCGGTATAGTAGCTGCGGTATTATGAGCACTTTCCTAACGGGAATGAAAATGGAACTCTAAGACCTGTGACTAAAATATACTGTTATATAAAATATTCTGCATACATTAAGTACTTTCTATATAATGCAACTAAGTGTCAGTTTTTTAAATGTTTGAAATCAGTTAAACAAAAGCTTACTCTGAAATTGGTCTAGGAGAAATAAATTTTAAAGTCTGCATGTTTTTACTATTTCAATATAGGCCTTTTTATACATACAATTTGTTTCTTTCATACATTACATACATTACATTTTAGTCGAAGATGACAAGCTCATGGTTTAAAACATAAAAAATAATTTTAAGTTCAATGCAATGTAGACTAACTTTAAAGTTTTAAATCACGCAGAATGTATATGAAACATAAATCGATCCAGTTTTTTCATATAGGCTAAATCCGTCAACGACATTGACAAGTAAATTAAAAAGCGTTCCGTGCGAATATCAATCATCGCTAAATGTTAATAACTCTTAGTCCATAATTTACTACCGTTGATTTAAAGCTTTAATCAATGCATAGATATATATTTCCTATGCCACCACAATAAATCGTAAAAGTTCACATTTGGACATAGTCTCTACCATAGTTGAGAGAATTACCTACAATTGCCACACTTGCTCGCTCGCTGTACCAGACGTTTCCTATATATAAAGATATTTTTTACCGCCGCTAGGAATAGTAAATCTATAATAAGTACGAGGTGGTGATACCGCCATTTATCTTAGGCCACGAATTCACACCGTAAAAAATTATATTGTCAACTATTAAAGAATTTAGTTTGTATTATTGTGTGCGTTATTACTTATTATGTATACCGTTATTAATTATAATATATGCGGATGTTACCAGTTCTATCCGAGTGCGGTTGATTAAACTTATTTGTACTGTTAAGTTTGTATAATACCGAAATACTTAATGATTAAGTAATATCAGCGATAATAGGTTAAGGTGCAGTTGCAGTGCGTTTACATATTGCAATCGGATGCATCTGGTATAAGCCGGCTAAACATATAAATTATAGAGCATTTTTTTTATAGAAGAGGGGGCAAACGAGCATACGATTCACCTGATGTTAAGTGCTACCGCCGCCCATGAACATCCGCAACAACAGAGGAATTGCGGGTGCGTTGCCGGCCCCTTAGAAAGGAGTAAGCTCTTTTCTTGAAGGTCTCCAGGTCGTATCGGTCCGGAAAAATCGCCGGTGGTAAACCATTTCACAGAGAGGTCTTACGCGGAAGAAAACTCCTAGTTAAACGTACAGTGGTGGACCGCCAAGCATCCAGATGGTGTGGATGGTTTAGGGAGTTTTGCCGCGTAATGCGTTCATGAAATTTGGCGGCTGGGATTAATCCAAACAATTCCTCAGAGCAATCCCCGTGATAGATGTGATAAAATACGCAAAGAGATGCAACATCTCTTCGCAGCGCCAGTGAATCGAGCTGATCGGTAAGCACTCGGTCGTCGATGATTTGAGCCGCTCTGCGCTGGATGCGGTCAAGTGGAAGGAGCTGGTACTGGGGAGTCCCAGCCCAGAGATAGAAACAGTATTTCATATGCGGCCATACCTACATCTTGTAAATTTGCAGGCGATGTGCCGGCATGAAATACTGTCCCGCTCTGCTGAGCACGCCAAGCTTTTTAGAGGCCAATTTGGCCTTCACTTCCAAGTGACCACGAAACTGCACGTCACTCGATATGTCGACGCCTAGGATCCAGAAACTGGCCGAGGCAACAAGGGGGATGCCTTGAAACTGAGGAGATAACACAAAGGGGTTCTTCTAAGCGGGTAACGCGCAAACTTGTGTATTCTGAGGGTTAAACTGGACTAGATTTAGTCACCCCCAATCCTGGCACGGCTGGTGTACAGAGCATCACCAGTGCTGTCATCTGCATAGCAATGAATGTTGCCAGTTTGCAACATATCATTGTTATGCAGAAGAAACAGCGTTGGAAATAGCACGCAGCCTTGTGGAACACCAGCATTAATAGGCTTGTAATCGGAGCTTGCACCGTCTACAACGACCTTGATGCTGCGATGATGCGATCTGCAAGAAAGCTGGTGATCCAATTGCACAATTTCTCGGGAAGCCCAAGGAAGGGAGCTTCGAAAGAATCGCTTTGTGCTAAACCCGATCGAAAACCTTCGCAATATTCAAACTAACGGCTAATGCCTCCCCTTTGAACTCTACTGCCGCCACCCATCTATGAGTCAGGTAGACCAGAAGATCACCAGCTGATCGACTAAGACGAAAACCGTATCGACCGTCACTAATCAGCTGGTGATCCTCAAGTTATCTTATGAGCTGGCAGCTTACAATGGACTCCATTGTTTTGGAGAACAAGGAGGTGATGGCGATGGTGATGCCTAGGGAGTAGTAGTAGTACCGGAAAAGACGCAAACTCCAAGGGTAGGATGGAAAGAAAGACCTATCCTCATCATCCGCATCCTATCCCGATCAGCTGATCTATAGTACCAAACACGGCGGCGGCCTGCATAATGCAACCGCGAATTCAAGCGTGAGTGACACCACACTCCGGACAAGACAATCGTCCGCAGAGCCTAAAGGGACGTCGACGGAAATCTGATATCCGTCCGGATGAGAGGTCAGCAGAAGGTCCAACGGGGAAGGTGCATGATCCTCTACATCTGGAATCTCCGAGGCGAAGTAACCAGTTGTGTCAGACCATATGCCAAGGCAAAATCATGAACAGATCTCCCCGCATGATCGGTTGAACGTGAACTAAGCCATTCGGCGTGGTGGGCGTTAAAATCGCCGTGGATCACGATCTCTGTGGAGGGGAACTGCTGTAGCAACGAATCTGTAGCCATTTGGACGTGTTCGAAGAGTCGGTCTGTTTTGGCATTACCGCTATGGGACCTATATAGGCGCGCGGATGATTGTTGCCGTCTCCGCGTAGCCAAAGGATGGACAGGTCCGAACCTTCAAGAGTGCCGAGGCGTCGAGAACAGATGTCCTCTTTGACGTATACGCAAACTCCAGCCCGAGGCACAAACGAGTATTCCAGTTTGTACCCCGGGTAGGAGAGATACGAAGTATCAGCCGGAGAGGACACCCGCGTATCGGTTAGAAAGAGCAGAGCTGGCCTTGTTATCTTTAGATGGTAGTGGACTGCGTTTAGGTTAGAATGAAGTCCCCTGATATTGCAGGAATTCACAGATAGCGTGGCAGGGGTCGCCTTGGTCTTGTTGCTCAGCTTGCCCCGAGCAGTTGTTTTGTTGGGCGGAATTTTGCCCCCACCCCCCCAGAATACGCGGGGCAGTCTGAGCACCCATGCTCAGGAGTGGAGTAACTTGGTCGTGGATGCTCAGCGAGGGATTTTCCAGGGGTGCTGGTACCCTCCTGCGGTAGATCTTCACCTAATTTCACTACTACGTTAAGGGGGGGGGGGAATGAATTGGGTCTCCGGCCACCGACCCCCACCAGTCGAAACGCAGAAGCAGCGCTTCCACTTCCCGCCGGTATTCTGTGAGGTCGTGTTACCACCCCGGTTTGAGCTCCCTCGTTCATTCATTTCCAATAATATTATTCCTAATAATTTGTACCGAGTGAGTAAAATAAGCTACCAATATAGATTTTGTATATAAATTGTATTTAATTTCCCGGAAACAACTCTAATATTTAGATATAGGTGTCATTTCTATTTAAAGAAAAATGTTTTCCCACAAATAATTAAACATTTTTTTAGCAACAAGCGAAGTTCAGTCGTCCATGTATTTTAATTTCAAATCTTTAAAAGGGTATTTCATATTTAATGATTCCAAATTAAGTGTTTCAAGACATTGTGTTCATGTTTTATATCAATAGTGACAAACGAGTAAGGAATCCACATAAATCATATCTAGCCTTTTTGCTGAGATACGGCCACTTTTGTGTCGCGACGTCTCGGCATGTGCCGTATCTTGCCAAAGGAAAACAGGAAAATTTTGGCATTTTAAATCAAAATGCTGTAGTGAAAGGTTGTTTTTGTTGACTCTGCTATGTATACAGAACAATTTCTTTTGTTCTTGGAAGGAAATTTTGAATGCACCAATAACAAAAATATTATTTTATTATTGATTCAGAACGTAGTGACGTTGAATGCCTTATGATAAATATAGGTGGCTATGACTCCAACACTTCGAGTCATGAAGAAAAGTGTCTTTTTGACTTTCGTTTATGATTACCGTTTAGTGTTGTTTGTACCGGGCCCCTTGTCCCCTTTTCCGAGTTTTTTTTAGGTGGGCCCCCCCAAGGGGGGTTGTTTTTTTTCCCCTTTTTTTTAAAAAAAATCTACCTACTCATAAGTATTTTTCATTTGAATTCTTTTGCTACCTAATTTATTGTAGTATACCTGTTTATTATTTATATTCGTATATTACTACAACAACCAAAGTAGAATTCTATTTTATTCTTAAAACAGAAAACGTTCATTGAACAAACACGGTAAAAAATAAAATAAAATAAAAGCAGTCATAAGTGCGCCACCGGGTGTACCGACACTATCTTAGTGATCAGACTATAACTATATATAATGTGCTAAGTGTTGGCGGCGTAAGAGAATCCATCAACACTTTACGTTCCGTAGGATAGATGTCCTTCCTATATATCGTGATATCGTAAGAGGGAAACTGAAATACGAGATGGATAGCAGCTTCTTCATGATAACATCCCAAAATAATAAAAATCTACGGTTGTCAACTCGCCCGTTGAGAATGGTATATAAGACAAATTCTTTGAGACACTCATAGTTTGACAGGCTGTGATAAATAAATAACAAAGTAGGAAATATAAACGTTATAATGGTTAATTTTTGGAAAAAGCTTTCCTCATTAATGCGTCCCGTCGACCGTAATTATATAGGACACGAGCATTGAGCAACGACCCGAAAGCATTACACTCTCGTTGGCTTATATTGATTTTGTTTGAATATTAAGAGCCTTAATGAATGTGCAAATGTTTCCTTTAAGTTACATAAATTGTACGAATACACTAATGCATAAAGACATCATAAACATACGAAGAAAGTTGGAGAAGATTGAGAAAATATCTTCACGAGTCTAAATTCGTAAACATAATCATGTAATTTGTTTATTATCGTAATCTAAGAGAGAGAAAATGCTCCACCCACACAGTTCAACCAGACTATAGAGCTAACACATCTAAGAGCCCTACATCTATATTCTCATGAAATTGCTATATTATGTAAACAATCAACCTACCTGTTGAGTTTTCCTTTTGTGAAGTGTAAAAGAAGTTCCTATCAAATTTTCCTTTTGTATCGAGCTTCCATAAAATAAGTTCCACTTAATTATTTAAATCGCGGCTTTAATCATAACATTTCGATTTAATCATGAATCAATGAATCAAACCCAAACTATATTCTAATGAGATTTAAATGAACTCTCCTAAACTACTAGGTACTTTCTTAAATAGGTCATTAAAATCAAAGCAAAAAGCACTTATTATTAAAACATGACAGATCATACAATATGAAACTACACACTGTACTTTCCTAGTATATATATTGTAGTCTTTACACTGTACACATGAGCGAATGTTAGCTAAACGCATGCGTTAAAATCCTCGCGCAGGCGCGCTCTTAATATCAATATAACACCGTTGTCACGGAAGCTTGATAGAGAATTTTCAATGGATGAATGTGAAATCCATGAATGAATACAAATAAGCAAAGCAATATTTAAAAAACAACTTAATAATAACCTCGTCAAAAGTTTCACTACCATGTCATAATCATTGAATATTTTATTTGAATTAAATTTGGAATTTGATGTTATTCATTTCAATACACTTTACATAGGTCTCTTATTTGTTACCTTAGGCCAACAAAGAAAGTAAATACGAAGGACTGGAGTAATTTCCAGTGACGCATAAACTAAGCCAAAATTATGCTTAAATTTTTGCGAAAACTCTCTAAACTGACGATGTACGTACCTAAACATATCCATCTAAAACCATCTGCAATCAACGACATAGATTTAGGTGCAGACTTTAGTTCGTGTCAGAAAGTTCAGCATCAGACGTTTATGACATCAGTTTAATACAAAGTGCATAATGGATTACTAGAGCTAAGATTTATGCAAAAACGCAAATTATTTGTTTTCGTATCTGTTTGTTATTATTGTTACATAGAACAGGACAGACTATACGAAGAAATTAAGACGAGATCCAGTACGTTTAAATACCACAAGAAGAAAGTATTCTGTTAAATTAAATAATAATTTATTTTTGTTTTTTATTATATTAAATATATTTTAATACTTATTATGTAAAGAGGACGTATTCTGAAGAAGGACATCTTTCTGTTTCGTGGGGTATTAAAATGTATCTAATTCTGGTTAAATATGAGGTTTAGAACTATCTCGCCTGTAACACGTCCTAGTTCCAAAGATATGCGTTAGATGTCATTGTCCTTAATTTAGCTGAAATTAAAACCTATGCGTAATAATAATGGCTATTGATAATTTCACATTATATTTGTCTGTACGCCACCTGGTGGGTAAATACTGTGAAGGCTCATATACTACATCTACATCTATCATCGATTAAGAATCAAAATGCAGATGCGTTGTTACCCTTGAGAACTAAGATATGAATGCCTCGTTGTAAGTAAAATGGTTCTTCAGTTTTCCCATAAGAAATTCACCATACTAAATACGGCAGCATTATACCGCGGTTTCACGGTGGTATTTTGTGAGAGCATGGCCCTACCCCGGTATAACCGACCCATTAACTCATGATGTTGTACGTATTTTTGTGTATGTAGCTATGTATGGTTTCAGTGTAAATCTACCTTGATAAAATTATTATTAATTAAACAAGATTATAACATTATTGCCATTAGTTTAAAACATGTCATTATCTTTAAATATATAATGAAACGAGCTTACTCATTTTTAAAAGGCCGATAGCGCATCTGCGATTCCCTTGGTGCTGCATTTGTTCATGGGCAGCGGTTGACACTTACCATTAGCTGAGCTGAGTGCCCGTTTGCTCCCCCATCTATAAAAAAATTACCATGTATAAAGCGCAATTTTACGCCTGCATGTAGTGATGCAGTCACAAATTGACTAACAGCGCAAAATGCCACCTTTTATTGTATTTATTAATAACCTTCATGTAGTTGAAATCAATCACGTCAACCACGAGTACAGGGACAATATAGATCATCATATATAATACAGACTCTTGGTGTACTATATGATGTATTTTAGACATTGTGTGCGGAAACTACATGTCTTTATTCGACCATCGGATAACCAGGCTGGGGTCACTCCTTTTTTGTCCATATTCCATGCATTCGAATTAGATGTTTTTATTTAGAATTACTAGTCTCGGCTGTAAATATCACGTATTTTTGGCTGACATAATATGTAAGAAACGTACATACGTTTTTTTGTCTCTAAGTGGTGACAGGATTTTGAAAAATTATATAAAAATAAATGTTTTGAGTTGCGATGTAAAAAAAATAATTAAATTAAAATAATAATAAGCAAACGTCTTGAAAATTGAAAGCTGGATAAAAAGCATTATATCAATTACAGTAAGCCGCTTAAGACTAAGATAAATGCTTTGCTTACTTGGCTGAATAAATACAAATTCAGCATTAATAAGAAATTATAACAAAACAAAAGCAATCGCTTTGATCTAATGTATTACGTATTATATTGATTTATATATTTATAGTGACTATGTTTTAGGGCATTAAAAAGACAAAATGTATTATATTTATGTTTTGTTACTATGTAAGCCTTTTTATATGTTCTTTTTATTAATCCATAAAAGTCCACAGCTGGTAATGAGCCTTTCCAATTGCAGAGAGACGCCTTTGGCAGGCAGACTGATGATCGCAATACCTACTAGACGTCTCGTACCTTTGACTCTGCTGCCTGTCGCCAAAGGGTGATGGATTTCGTCACTACCACAGCGCATTTTATATGAGAAAATATAAATCTCTTAATACACTTACATTCTATATTAATCTAGAGCAATGAGCACTTTGAAGTAATAACGAAATGCTACAATCTGCAAAATTAACACTGCAAGTAAGTGACAACTAAGAAAGTTTAGTGAAACTAAAAATAAGTTCTATGGTTAAAGTTTTCATTACTTAATCTTTTCACAGTGCTCCTCACTAGCATCTAATCAAGTTTTATGCATTAGAATTTAGAACCAATTTTCTAAACTTTTTTTTAGACCGCCTCAGATACCTGAGCCTGCTCCTACGATGCTAGAGCGCTTCCGGCTATGGAAACCGTATTACTTTTATAATTACATTTTATGTTACCCGTAAGTCAACACCTTCGGCAAAAACGAAGTAAGGCGTCAGTTTCCTTATTCAGGTGCTGAGGCTACGCGCGCTGTGATGCACTATAATTTTGCAGAGGCTTGCATATGTTGCCTCGGTCACCCGCGTGATAAAAGTTACTAGATAATGTAGTAAAAAGATTTAATCTATAATAAAAGGCAAACCTGACTGACACATCTATCAACGGACAGCCAAATCTACTGAACGGATTTCGCTGATATTTGGCATGCAGACAGTTATAATGACGTAGGCATCCACTAAGAAAGTATTTTTTAAAATTCACCCCCTAAGGGAGTGAAAAAGGGGTTAAGAGTTTGTATGGAAATCCGTCATTTTTAGAGCTAAAAACTTGAAACTTTTTTAGGTTAACGATTAGAAATAAACAATTACGTGTTCTAGGGTTTTTGAAAATTCAACCCCTAAGGGGGTGAAATATGAGGTTGAAAATTTGTATGGGGGAAACAAGACTAGTTAAACTATTTTATTCGAAACTTACAGAGGAGTACTCCTACCAATAAATGAGCAAACGATTTCACTTTAATGTATATTGTATTGTATTTATATTTATATTCAAGCAATAATATGCTGCAATTTCTCCGATTGGACTCATTTCGAGTATAACTAGAACTCTTAATATAGTGTGTATTTTTTTGAAGAAGTGCATTAAGTATTATTTTTATTCAAAAAAATATTTATAATAATATTGACTATCTATGATTACTTCATCTAGTTAAACTTTTACGGTACTGCAATACATGTTATTTCTAGAAAAAAAAATTATATACCTATTTACTATTTTATATACTTTTTGCAATTTTATTTACAAGCATACCTAATTTAGACTGCCCACACCAATCACAGCAATCACATCATAGTCAAAACTATTCCTAATAGATGCCGCTAGTTTTTTTTAATATGTATAAAGCATCAGTCAAACGTTTGGACGACTGTATCTTTAATTTTTAAAACAGTGACCACGGAATCATTTTACTTGGGTCTGTTTCTAAGCATTGGTGAGGTTGTTGAGGTATTACATTTTTTTAATAGGATAGGGTGACAAACGAGCACACAGTCCACCTGATGGTAAGTGGTTGTTGTGGCCCCTAGACATCTACATCTATCCTCGATTACGAATAAAAATGCAGATGCGTTGTCACCCGTGAGGACTAAGACGGAATGCCTCGTTTTCAGTAAAAAGGGTGTTCTGTTCTCTACACTCACCATACGAAACACTGCAGTATTAAGCTACTATTTTACCCTGGTATTCTGTGAGAGCCTGGTCCTTCCCCGGTCGAGCCGACCCATTCGTGCTACAATTATACTACTAATATGCAGCATGGTTCTACCACTGTATTCATGTTTCCGTCCGTAACACCTGTCAAAGGCGACCTCTTCTTTTCTGTTTTCTCAGGTACATGGCTGCCTTAGAAGAGCCTTTATCCATAAATCACATTTGAAGTATATCAAACACATTTGAAATCGTAAAAAGTCATTGTGTGCAAAAGTTACTGTTGCAGATTTATTTTTTAATATGTTGGTGAATTTGAAATTATGAAATTCGTATTATTATTCAAAATGTATTATTTTGTATTTCAAAACAAACCTGGCTAGTGTTTCATACAAAAAAATCGCAAAACTTTCTACGTGGCTTGTTTTATTGACAAACAAATGATTAGTAACAAAATTCAATTTTACATATATTCTTAGATTACCCTTTTCTTGGTTTATTTATAAAAATATCTAAAAGACTATAAATAATTAAACGATAAGGCACACAATATTATTATAGAGCTACCTGACGTAAAGATAAATTTAGGGTCACAGTAGATGGATGCCATGTCTATTGGACCAAAGGATTCTGCTAAAGATGGATTATCGGCCAAACTAAGATTGATCACATTGGGTTATAATACAGACATGAACTATTAAGAAATTAAA